GGAGAAGCATCCCACATTCCTCTGCCCATGCAGTCCTTTGCACTTCTGCACAAAGCCCTCCTGGCACAAAGCACTCTCGCTGCACTGTGAACACTGTCCTGAGAGTGCTTTGCAGAGGTGATGTACATCCTAACAGACATGTATTGCGCCATAATCCCTAAAACAGAGCATCTTCAGTACCAGGAGCTAAATATTGACTTTGAGATTAAAAAAAAAATCCATCAACACCAGGGACTAGCACTTAATGACACCATTCACGCTGAACTCAGTCCCAACCCAGGGGCATGGTTCTGAGATCATGTGTCATGCTACTGGAGCAAAATAAAGCTTATAGGGAAAAGTGTTATTGCTGATATGGAAAAAGAGTATAAAAATAGATGACAGAAGTTGCAGTAAAATGTATTAGCTCTTTATGCATTCAGCACAAGCGCTATACAGGCAATGGAAGTCGGGAGGAGTGGATAAACACATCTTAGGATGGTCTACTCAATTGACTGAAATCTGGCAGTATGACTCTCCATGGATTCCAGATTCAATACCTCATTGCCATAAGAGGTTCTCACCTTCTAGATGTATTGCTTGAGGCTAACAGGTGACTGTATTAGTTAACACTAAAGCCATAGCTTCTGAACATGTTAAAAGGGAACTAAACAGCTCCTTTTCATGGCCATGACATCATCCTTCTTTTCCTTCCCAAGTCTCTTTGCCTCCCCACCACTCTTCCCTATAGCTGGCACCATATTACTATGTTACCACATTTTGAATTACATCCAGAAAATAACCTAGTTAAGTGATTAATTTAATACTTTTTTTTTTTTTTTTTTTTTTTTTTTTAACCAAAAGAGGGGTTATCTGGTAGAGGAACAAGCTGCTAAAGACAGAGCAGATAAGGGAAGTCAAAATGTCTTCTGGGAACAGGAGCAGCATAACGTTTGCGATGCCAGGATGTTATAACGTGATTCTCACTGGCAGAAGGGCCAACATTCTGTTTATAAATTTAAATCCACCTCTCATGCATTGAGCAAACAATAGTATTACTTCAAGCCTTCGCTAGCCCTGCTGTGCTTTTCTGCCTTTCCATGACAGAAGAAACATGCCTTTATCTCAGCAGTTCCAGTTCCTCCCAATACAAATGCATCATCACTGTGAGGCTGATGCTGAAAGAGAGGAAGAGCAAATACCTCAGAGAGGACAGTCCTAAGCCTTGGCTGGAAGACTCAGAACAGGCTTCATCTTCCCCCCTAGCAAATATATTTCTTACTCAGACTGGAATCTCCCATTGTACTTAGTATTTTGCATTTCAGGATGCACTCCCACTGCTCAAGACATTTCAGTTTAGCTCCAGAACAAAATGAAACAAAAGAGCAACCAGCTACTGACTTGTCTATAACACTTGAAACTTGTCTAGAATGTGGGAAAATAAGAGTAGTTATTCAGGTATGGAGTTGCTTCTCTAGAAAAAGTACACTATAAATGAGTCTGGGCAGCAGTACTGATAGGTTTGTCTGCTCCAACCCTATCATTGAAGTTTATGAAGCAATCCATTTACCTTTAGGACTCAGCCATATTCAGTTACCCAGAACACTATTGACTTTACTAATAAGATTATTCCCCTAATGGCTACATTACTTAGCCATTTAACACAAGTCTGCTATTCGAGAAGGCAAGAGTAAACCAGGAGATGCTGATTAGAAGTAGATGAAATTACACAGTCTGGCAAATAGCATGCTTTCTTAAAGATTATACAGGATACTCTATACAACTATTCAGAAGACTAAGCATAACCATAAAAGCTTGTAACAAGCAAGCCTTGTTTTGACACTGCACAGACTATATTCCCTCCAGCAAACATGATGACTGTTAATCTTTAAAGAATGATGCTGCTTTCATAAATGTAAAGTTCTACAACACATATTCAGATATAACACCAGACAGTGGAGCAAAGTAGCAGTTGATAAGCACGTATTTATCAGTCAAATGAATATCTGATAAGCGGTAGGTAGAATAGGTACAGGTTTAGCCAGGGATAAATAGTAAAGCAACTGAAAAGAGATTTCTAACAGAATGGTAAATGTAACTGTCATTCTAAGAGTTTTCTCTGTGCTTATTATAACTGTACAGCACAGCAAACTGTTCAGTTTCAGTGTCTAGTCAATAAATAACCTTGATTCCTCCTAAGGTTCCTCAACCCTTTTCCAACGGTTGCATTTGCCTCCCTTGTAAAATAATAAAAATAAAAATAAAAAAATAAATCAAGCTCTGTTCTCTGATCTTCAGATACCCAAATCTTACACAGGTCAGGGATGTTTTGGTGCCACACCCATTTTTTTTTTTTAACCTCTCAATGCCCTTTGATCAAGAGCTGTTGGTACAACAGTGTAGGAACAGCTTTGCTACAGCTGATATTATCTGCAGCACTAATAGCAGAAACCTGAAACATTCATGCTGCAGCCGACACAACACTGGGTTTCTGCAAGGCATTGAAATAATTTAAAAATAATTTTAGTCTGCATAAAAATGGACCAAAGAGGAAAAGACCAAAACACAACCTCTTATTCTAAGAATTAAACATTTCATGTTCTTCCTGGTAAAAGAAGAAAAATATGCAAAAACAAAAACAAAAAAAAAAAACAACACCCCCCCCCAAAAAAAACTGAACAAAAAAATGAGCTGTGATCGTTTCAAAACACAGCAAAGCAGTTACTATCCTAATACTAATATAATGTGATAAGCATTTTAATACTGTGCACAGTAAGCCTCAGCACATGCGGGACATAAGTATTATTACTGGAGAATAAAAAAAACACAACATGGGAAAAAGGCAGAGAACACTGATGTTTCCCCTTCTCTTTTTGAGGGTGTATTTTCTGTATTCTTACACCATACTTACCCCTAGACTATTTTGAGTATATTCTCCTATTGCACTAAGCTGCAGTGCATTATGGCTCCACAAATGCTGTTTCTTGCCAAGGAAAAAAGCACACACAGGAACAAGCGTCTTCTGAAGAACTAGTTTATATCTTTCTAATACATCCATTGCTCTGCTGGAAGTTGAAGATGGCAAGGTCACAAAAGAGTTCCTTGTGTTCAGTGTAAGTGGAAAGGTTTGTTACAGTTCTTACTTGTGGAGGAGTTTATTAATTCCAGACTGAACATATCTCCCACACAGGATAATGCTCATCAATATTCCATTTCAATGAGTGATGCATTTCACCATCATTATGTATAAACTTCCCCTCTTCATGAACATTCAGATTCCAGCAAACTTGAAGAGGAAATTTGCAACAGTATAAAGTAATTAATTCCAAGTTTATGCTCAATCAAGTTCTGGGATACGGTAAAAGTAATTTAGTTTTATCAAATCACTTCCATTTCACATCAAATCTACAGTCCGCATGTATCATAGAAGCTCACAGTCAAATGTGAAGAGAAAATAAATTGCACAAGTCTCAAGCCTGTTCAAGTTTAACCTTCTTTTACAGAAAAATGTAAAGAATGTAGAAATAATCTCTTAACAAACAAAATAATTTTCCTTAAATGCAATGGGCCAGGCTGCTACAGTTAGTTATCTAACAGGTGCATTTTCTTTCAGGAATTCTCTTGCTGAGTACCCTGAACTAATATTTGCAATAATAAAAATACACCTTGCACAAGAGGTTTGAAAAAGGCTGATTTTTATCTTTGTACAAGCTTATACCACATGAATGAGCACCCAGTTATTAAGGAAGGAGACCATATCAAAAGGAGAAAGCATTTTGGTTCTAACACCCTCCCCTCAAAACTGGCATTCAGATTTTCATGAAAAAGCAGTCTACATGTGCCTATGCAAGTTCCCATATTTTATTGAAAGACACTTTGCAGACAACAAACAAACAGAGTCTCTTTGCAGATACTCTTACATTCAATCCAAAACGAAGTATTAAAGAGGTCACTTCCATAGCAGCAACTTGATTCCACAAATTTCAGTTGTTACAGCAAACACAGTCATTACTTATTTTTTATATTTTGATTAAAGTTACCAGACATGGGAACACTTGCCTTGAAGTGAATTTTAAAAAGTGAATAATGACAAATATAGCCTCTTCAAGTGATATATTGCAAGATTTCTGTTTTTTAAATGGAATCTCTCCATTGATCACAAAAATCACACCTATTTGAGACACTGACAAACAAAACTGCATTAATACTGTAAGAGAACAAAGTATGGATAGAAAGCATTTTAAGAGGTAAATGAAGGATTCCAAGTTTCTGCTTTAACAATACAGCATACTGCAGAAAGCACCACAATATACACCACAGCTCTTCATTACAGATTTTGGATGTTAAATTGTTGAATCTATATGATTTTCCATCACTGTATATTAAAACTTAAGTTTATCTGATTATTCTATTAGCAAACTTAAGTTGCCACCAGTTTAACTCCATTATGTTGTTATATCTGCAAACAATTAAAAACATTTCCAATATGATATGCCATAGTAGTTTGAAACATTACTAATGGTATTCTGCCTTATTTTTCATTCTTTTCAGAGAAATACCTACTCAGTCTTGAAATCATTGTTGAACACTCAGTGTGTGGCTGAACAGAAATAGGGTAGAGCTAACAGATACCTCAAGAGTTACCAATGCAACTAATAACAGAGATTTAAATAACCTTCTCCCCAAATTCATCAGCAATAAAAGGATTCTGAAACATTCCCTCTCTACTCCCTTTATTATTTATTCACTTCTGTCCGAGACTCTTAATGTCTGTACAAATGGAGAATTTGTCTTTTATACCTTCCCTCCCCAGGAGACCGAATGTTTTCAGGGCAGTGAGTGTTTTCAGAGTAGAAATTCCCTATGGACTGCTTTTCAAGTTTTAAATACAAACCAGTGAAGATTAGGGTACTCAATGTAGTTATGTACGAGCAAAAAAAATATATTACCGAGAATAGCAGTATCACAAAGCGAGATTACTGGCAAGTGTGCAACTAGGAATAAGGTGAAGTCTCATTCTTTTACAGCTTTGGCTTGAACTTGCCAGAAAGAAGCTTTCTAAGCATTTCAGAATTTTTTCCTGCTGGTGGCGAGGACCATCTGTCATGATCTGAAGAAAACAAATAACATACTTAACTGATTGAGAAATGAGGCATTTTAGTTTTGTGTCCTCCCATTGCCTGACTTCAATAATTTGAAGGGCATTATTCTGTAGCCCATTTCTTACCAGGTATCTCTAGGGCATGGCTATATAAACTTTGGCCACCATCCACAGCCACGGTTATCCCAGTTATGTAAGAAGCAGCTGGAGATAGCAGGAAACACACTACAGGAGAGATCTAACACAAGAATGACAATTTTAATCTTTCTTAAACTGCTGTGAATTGTTCTTGTAAAAACTTCTGTAGGCAAGACATACCAATGTTTCCTACTCAGTAATGAAAACTAAATACTCTTAAAGCCTTATTTCCAGCCTCAAACATCAGGTGCATAACAGCTGAAAACCAGTAAGCTCTCAATGATCAACACCAGGTACCGGAAAATCAAACAAAAACGTTGATTAGTTTATCACAGATGGACATTCTTGGTGGAAGAGAGCTAAGTACTTTAAAGATACACTTTTTTTCACATTAAATTCATTCTTTCAGTCCTCCTTATTGGAAGTCAATTTTTTCAGAAACTGGTGTCTACTATGAAACACATCAGCTGTAAAAGGCATCTAAATTAAACTTTCAGTAAAACAGTGACTATTGGTTAAGTTTCCCACTTGGCAATACTACACATTACTACAAGCTTTTTTCTTTTTTAACAATCCATCATAGTGCAAAATTAAATCTTTCTTATTCTCCATATAATAAAGAGGCTTCAAAATAGAGACACAGAAGTAGAAATATCACAAACGTTCTGAAATACACTACCTCCTCAGGAACCGCTGGCCTCTTGGCAGGAATCTTTGGTATGCTCTTTAACCACATCACTGTACCTTGTTCTCCATAATTCGCAACAGCAGTTTCTGAAAAAACTAGTCCCTATTTTAAAACAGCATAGTGAAAATTAACTTCTCTTGCATATTGTTTAAACTGTGATCATTGTAAAATTGTGAAGTTGTCATTTTCTGTGGCATTAAAGTACTCAAACAGCAATTGAATGCAAGTTTTAAAACTTAATGGAATAGTATAATTTATACAAGAAGGTAATTCAGCTGCTAGCCACATCTCTATTCAAGCAAAATAATTCAGATACTACAATTCTCTGCTGTCACTTCAGTAACTACAGTGGAAAGCATAGGAAGAAACTCAAAGACTGTTTTGAAATGACAAGCATTTCATATTAGATTACAGCAGAAAACTACAAAGCCCCAAGGACAAGTTCTCAACAGTTTCTTGTAATCTGTAAGAATGCTAGATAGATTTCATTGTGAATTATGGAAGCAGACAGATTTCACAGAGTTCAGACTCTCCCTACTTAGCTGCTATAGAAATAGAAAAAGGTGACTGCCTTTGCTCTGATGATTATACAGTCCAATTTAGACTTGAGAGGGAAGATGGGTCTACAGCAGTGGTAACACAGGGTTACATAGATGAGTTATGACAGAACCTTTGGGACTCAAGTTGAAGTAAGATAACAAAACTTGAGTTCATCCATGGAGTACATGCCAAGATTTCTCTTCTAAGATATCTGTGAAATGTGAGTGCTAGGTTTTGGGCACTAGGGAAATAACTGGTACGTGAAACTATTTTGTTAGAATGCATTTCCCTCTCTATATTCTATTCCCTACATGTTACTCTGCTCCTATAAACTGTTAACTGTTCTGTAGGTTTACTACAGGTTTAGTGTGTCCACAAAGTTGACAGAAGGATATGAAGTGTTACTGTAACTACAACACGGATTTTTGTTACCACCATAGTAACAAAGCTAGCAAATCCTTCTCAAAGAGCCAAACCACTGAAGTGTTTGCTTGTCAAAAACTTCTTTTGACATATGCTATAATGTATAATTAGTATGATTCATTAGGTAATTATCATGCCTGAAAAATATATTCACATAATAATTCTGTCTTAATTACTTCCCCAAGACTTGATAAATCAGAAAAAAAACCCCAAATAAACAGGAAAAACAAGCCAGTAGATCTTAATATTTAACAAGTCTCCTGATGAGTTGGGCCTCACGGAGGCTACGTAAGAGTGACTACCTGAACGATAATCACACATCTGCCATTCAGCATTCTGTGCTATGCCAAATAAAGTGAGCCAGATGTTTTAGGACAAGAGGCACAACAGGATATACAGCATCCTACAAAGTTAGTAGAAAGATCTTCCTATGGACCAGTTAAACAAATCTGACACTTAACTGTATTGTGAGATAAGATAAATGCTGAATGTAGAAGGACCTAAACAAAGTTTCCCTTTCCTCTTTTGTTCTCAAGGGATTAAATATGCAAAATAAATTGTGGTTAAGAGCAAAGATTATACAGATCACAACAGATCACACAATCTCAAATGTTAAAGCCAGGGCTTCTATATAACCTCTATGTCTGCAGCACCACGCACTAGAAAAATACAGCTGCTTTTTCCATACAAGTATTTAAAACAACTGCTACATGCTACCTACTTCCTCAGAAATGTGACATGCATATTTTAGCTGACCTCTATAGTGGTTTCCTGTCTGCATATATTTGATAAGAAAGAAAAAAAAAAATAATCAGAACACATATTTTTATACTTAATGTCTTTGAGAGAAGATCCACTCTAAATACAGTCTTCCTGTGCCTAAAACCAATTAATTTAACATGTAGAAGACAAAGTAAAAGACATTGTGACACATGCAAAAGATTTTCAAAATAACTTTGTAAACACAGGTGGAAACTGTCAGCATACCTGAACCTCAAATAGAAAAAATTTTGTGAGTTCAGAAATAACATGATCATTACTGAAATGCAAAGCATTTGGTAATTTTATGTCAAGCATTTGTAAGACAGGTCAACAGCTCCTCCCAGGTATCATTTCATTAAGCTAGACAAAAAAATCCCAAAACAAACAAACAAAAAAAACCAAATCAAAACAAGAGTGCCAAATCAAAGCAGAAAGCAGAAGCAATTTTATACCCCATCTCTGGTTCATCATCTGAACAGTACAAAACACTCTAAAATGACCTGAAGAACGCAGCTGGGGAAATTATAAAGAAATATATAAATAATCCACAGTTACAGGCTATAGATTTTTAAATCCCTTCTGGACTGAAAAGTTTTAGCCTTGAACATGTATGATGGCTAAGTTTAATCAGATCATTTGCCATTACTTACAGGAGCAACACTGTTGATTCTTACTCCACTGTGGGCCCATTCTAAAGCCAAAGTCTTCGTTAGGTTATTCACTGCAGCTCTTGCAGCTCCTGAATGCCTATTAAGAAAAGAAAGCAAAAGAAGCATCTGTTCCCTCAGCTAATGGTGCCCAATGTTAATTCTACCACATCCTCACTAGGGCAGTCAGAGTAACTTTCTATGACTGGACCAGCCGTGAGAGAGAGATATTTTCTAGTTTGTAAATTTGACCATAGCATCACAGTTTAAACAAACTATGGCGTGATTTCCTGTCATTTTTGGAAACACTTATCGTCTCTTCCCCAGTGTGACTGAGGCCAGCTACATTTTATTGCGGAAGCAGGCTTATAAAATGTTTTTGTTTTCAACTGGAGGTTAAGTCCAAACTGTGTAAAACTACAAAAAGTAGACTACACAGACAAACACTTGGAAGGACAGTGGTCTGAAAATAAGTTTAGATCTTCTGACAAACATGATTAAAATAAACCACTATTCAAAAATTACTATAGGGGGATGGAGATAGAGAAGACCGTAGGCAGAGTCATCTCATACACCTTACTTCTATAGAAAACTAGTCTGAAATGCCCACAAGGTTGAGCAAATGCAGACAAAATGACTGCAGTGATGAACAACAGAAAATGGGATGCAGAGAAAACTAATAATTTTATTCCTTTAGACTAACAAAACAGGCTTAGAGGAGAAAGATACAATAGCTTCTCACACACCATGAAAGGAATAAGAAAAACTTAAGGAAAACATAAACCGCAACTTATTCATATATTTAGGCCATAAATAAATAACTTCCAGGCACAATATGAGCAAAAAAAATCAACTAGTTTTATGTTCAGAAGTAACACTCATGCAAAAATGTATCAGGTGATTTTTGGCACAAGTGGTGGCCAGACTTGTAAAGGTAAGTCATTTTCAATAGTACATTTTTAAACCAAGTATCAAATCAACAAGAATTTAATTTGAAAGTAGTTTTGTCAACCCATCCTCATCCACACACAACAGCTTTTTGGGAAGCTTTTTTCCCACTGTTATTCAGAATTAGGTTTTTTATCTCTTGATTCAACTCTCAAATACAGCTTCAGCCTATTTGCTGTGACATTCAACCAGACTTAACCAGAACAGAGAAACTGAAATAACTGTAACTTCAGCACCACCCTGTGGATATCTAAATTTATTTTGTACTGTCAACAAACTAGTGAGAAAATATTCTGCTGTTCCTTAAAAAAAAATATTAATTTTTGAAAGCTTTAAAGCCTGAATCAGGACAAAGAGAGGCAATGTAACATTTGATCAATTTCCTTCAATAGAAATTCAATTTCAAATGTAAAAAATTAAGTGGTTTCAAAGAAGAAATTTAGATTTTTTTTTTTAAGTTAAGAAATTGTCAAAATGCAGCATTTTGCCAACTTCAAAATTTAATCTGTATTCATGTTCTGAGCATTATTTCTCTTTCAACAGATAGACATTTTTTTGGTGGAAAACTTTCAAATCGGAAGATTCCTGGCTCACCTCCATTTTGAGGATAAAGAAATCTGCATAAATATAGTACACACACAGATATGGGGAGGATGCTGCATTTTCATGTGGACAGGTGTGATCATTTGTGTTAGTATAAAAGAACTACAAATGTGGTAGTGTGTTTGTACCCATGATCCTCCTCCCAGTCAAGAAAGGAGCAGAGCAAACAGAACCAATTCTCTGCATCTGAGACCTTCGCCAAGAAAGATGGCTACAAAGCAAGAGTAAAAAGGAAAATGGGAAAGGCAGGCATTACGTGACCCAAAGGACAAAGCCAAAACCTGGGAACGTGCTAGAAATGTTCCTCCCTGCTCCCCTACTCCCAGTTCAACTCTCACAACTCACTAGACCATCAAGACCTCTAAACTAACAGTAGAAGAGGAAAATGGGTGCCAAATTCTTGCAAATCCTCCACAAATTTGGAGAGAGAGTAAGTAAAGGTTACATTTAAGTGCAACTAGTGCCACTAGCATATCATTTTGCTAGCAAGTCTTGCTTCATAGTTTCCTACAAACAAGTTGCCAGAGAACAGAGATGCCCTTTACTCCATAGCCAAGTGATATGATTGCTCTCTTGACCTAACTGCTGTATTTCTATACTCTGCTGCTGCCCAGTGCACACCTTTCTAAAATGAAGTATTTTGGAGCAATTAGCACTTCCATGGGGAAAACATAGGAAAATGTAAAAATAAAATATATATTACGACATTCCAGGAAACCCATTTCTCACGGTAGCAGTAATGTTGACGATGACTCCTCCATGTTCCTTCATCCAGGCATTGTACACTGTATGAAGGAGGAAGATAACCTATAAATACCAGAAGAAACGCAGGCAAATGAACTGGCCAACTGGAGCCAAATTTGGGCTCCTAACTCCAATTACACTACACACTTCCTGTGTAGACATAGATAAACAATCTGCTCTTTGTACCATAGCCTCAGCACTGGGTTGGTAACAGGTGTGGTCCAGATAAGGCTTGATCTTTTTCAAGAAGCCTTTTGGTAGAAGTCAGGAATTCATGCTTCCAGATAAATTACTTTCATTTCCACATTCCAAGTGTTATGTGAGAATCATGTATCATACTTAAATTTAAAGTTAAATTTACACCCCTAATAGGAGAGAAATCTTTTCCTGTATTACACAAAGTGAATGCAGGCCACAGAAATTAAGTGGTTTTCCTACAATCTTTTAAGTGAGTATTCAAGAAAACTGACTCCCCAAATCTGGACTTAACCATAGGATCATAGTTGCCTAAATGTATGTTTGTACAAATGAACAAATGTAATGTAGAGTTTAACATAAAGGTTTGGATGAGATTGTGAAAACAAAAATCCGCTGTAAGGTAAGCGCGTGAAAAAAGAAGGTAAGGAAACTTTGTATTTCTTGTCTTCTGGTACTGCTATAGAAAACACAAACCAAATAAACAAAAAATGCTTAATGTGCAGTTCTTACCTGCTTTGCAGCAGTAGAAGGTCCCTGTCAGATTTGTGTCTATCACAGCATTCCAGCCTTTTGCACGGATGGCTTCAGAAGGACTTGCAAATTGGCCCCCTCCATTATTCACCAGGAAGTCAATCTTCCCATACAGACTTAGTGTAGACTTCACCAAAGCTTCTACCTGAAACAGTATTTGTTAGTATAGTATTCTGATTAAACTATATACCAAATTTCATTCTCAGACAGTATTTTCTCATATCCTTTTCACACATAAAGAGGAGGTATCAGCCTTCATATAGGCTGCAAGATCAGTATGACAAGTTCAGTCAGCCAAGAAGGATTGGGCCAAGTTGTTTACCTAGGAGATCTTCCTGTTATAACACAGGTGCTACGTAAAATACCAGCACAGAAAGAAGAAGGGGATTTAACCTGCTGAAGGTTTGTAAAAGCAAACATATACAAAAGCCAGCTACTTAAGACCTACTAAGAATGTCCTGACATTTTTCACAAGGGTGAGTTGTTCACACCAGATGCTGGAAGCATTCCATATAAAATAACCACTGTTTTTTTCATCTGATATATACACCTTCTTACACAAACCAAGAAGGTTAGTTTGTTACCCAAAAAAACTTGAAAAAATTATGAAAATACTACAAGTTGTGTTCTTTAGCAAAAAGGTTGTGAATATTTGACTAAGCAGATACTGTCTGGATGAATACTTATAATTAAGAGCACTGTCTGGCACTATTTACCTTTGGGTACTCTGAGAAGGTATTAACAGCAAATAGTAATAGACATGTTACTCACTCACTCAAAGAGCTGCCAGTGCAGAAAAGGACTGGCTAAAGTTCATATGGAATGAAGGAAATTTTGAGAACCTAAACCTAGCTCTAATATTGACCTAATCTGAGCTACAGGCTGTAAACTAAGCCATTTTGCATTGTCTTTTTCTGGAAGTAGAGCAGTTTCACCACACATTGACGGTAAGCACAAGAGAGCTTCTGGACGGGAACATATTCCAAAGCATTCAAAGATTTTACAGATAGCAAAGCTGATGTATAAATATACATTACAAGATAGTATTAAGAACTCTGTAGCAACTGCTTAATAAATTAATCTTTATCTCAAGAAACATGGGAAATGGGACAACATGAGTGTTTCTTGTTTACATTACCTATCGTAACTAGAGAGGATGCATCAGTTATTCCTACTCAAGCATACATAAAAGGTTAATCTATCATCTGCGGTCAAAGAAAACACAGACAAAAAAAAAAAATGCAAAAAATGCAAAAAATCCCCCAACCAAACATTAGGAGCAATGCTACTGCTGAAACACATTTGGTTAAGGGAAGAATGTCCATCAGCCCTCCTCTCTATTGAATTAGCAGTAGAAAACATCAAAAAATAAGAGCAACAGCAATGCATGTTGGTGACTCACCAAGACTGTCATCAACTCAGTCTCATAAATAGCTCCCTTACACTTCAGGATGGTTTAGCAGGACAGTATGGATCCTGTAAGGATGCACATCTCTGAAGAAGAAAACCTAAACATAGTGACTGAAGCCTGATTGAAAACTAATGCTTCCCGAGAAAAAAATGCCCTAAAAAAATAATTTTGATACCTAAATCACCATCTTTAAGTTTTGAAGATCATCTTATTCATTCCTCAGATCAGTCACTGCAGCTTGTGGGATCTGAGGGAAAAAAATAATTAAAAAAAAAAAAAACCCAAAAAAACCCCCAACCCCAGAACATTTGTGACAGCAGTCCCGAACCCATGACTTGTAAGAACCACCATGCCACAAAGACTTGTGGGTTTGCTCACAACCAGACAAAAACAAGTTATGCCTCACTAGGCAACAAAAATCATGCTTTGCTCAGCACATCAAACTCTTTTCCTTGTCAGCCTGAAAATCTTGCTTTGAATGTTGTTGTTCATAAGTCACTGAAGTATAGGCTCATATATGGAAGAGAAATGGTTTCAGTACATGGAATGTTTGAACAGACTCAGACTATTCAGGCTGGGGGGGCCAGGGTGGGAGAAAGCAAAAGAAAAATGCTAATGATAGTAAAAATCCCCAAACCCCAATAAATTATCAGAAGAAAAATCCACCAGGAAAAAAAATTACAAGTAGGTTTTCAACAAGTAGACAAAAGCTGCTATGACATATCAATTCAAAATAGTTCACATGTATCTTAAGAAACTGTTGTTTTTCTTACTTCTTGTCCCATATTCCCAAGGCAATTAAAAAAAAAGAATAAAAAATAAAAACATCACCAAAACAAACAAACAAAAATCAAACAAAAATAACCCCAACCCAAACCTACAATCCAACTGCATATCAGTTCTGCTTTCAGAAAGCCAGCAAAAGCTAGCAGGTGACAGCTTTCTAGTGACAGCTCAGATGGCTCCAACTGTAGCAATCTTCACAATGTCTTCTGTGTTGTAGAGAAAGCATCGTTGCAGTGCTTCTCCCAGTTACAGTAAACATGGTGACAGTAGCCACCAGCACAGAGAGAAAGAGGGTCCGGTAGAACACATTTAAATCACAGTGAGAACTGAAGAAGCTGCCTTTCTATTCCTAAATATTCAAAATCCACACAGAAAGAACTAAATAAAAAAGCTACTAAAGACTCTCTGGAAGCAAAGCAAAACTGCACAAGCCAGAGCTAACAGTCTAGAATATTCTTCTGAAAAAGACTGAAAAGAACAAAACCAGGCAGTTCAGACATAACCAGAAGACTGGAGCTGTTCAATAAGGACCTTTTTTGTGTGACTGCAACTCAAAAGTATTATGCAGTAGCACACTTTCACACATAACTGAGATGACAGTACTTGCTGACTGACACAGAGAAAAGTGACAAATGTCCACTTGCATTCACAGGTCACCTTAAGCTTGAGTAAAGGTTACCATGCAAACTACCCACTGCAAAGTGCTAGAGATTTGCTATGTGGGGACTAGAACTAGTAGCCATTCTTGCACAGTGATAACAGGTATTTTTATCTTTGTGTTACTGTTGTGTTGAAGTACAACAGGTGTCTCTTATCCACAGCTCTCCACCAAGCCACAGCCTTCTGCTACAGGCTTTACACAGTATTTACTAACCAATTGAGACTATGCCAAGCTATAAAGTTTATTGGAAAAGCTACTAGTGTACTCAGACACAAGGTAAGTGCTAAATAGTACTGCACTGAGTCTGTCTCAAGGAATCCTGTTTGTCAGATGTCCAAGTGATAGGTTTTACCCTCAGGGTCTGGTCCAGACACAGTTGTTGCTGGAGCTGAAGTATGGAAATGTGACACCCTGCACAGAATTCTGAATTGCTGATTACACGAACACTGGCCTACTAGAAGTAAAAGATTTTATCTTCCACTTACCCAGATATGTCTTCTACTTATCTAGGTGTCAGTTAAATAAATATTTGTCCGGAGCATATAGCACAAAGGCTATACAAGGTTAAAAACTTCCTCATGTCTGTCTTTCCCCTATCAACAGATTTGCTGTAGTTCAGCATTTAAGACACACAAATAAATGCTTCCCCTTCCCAACACCTACAAAGATAAATAAAAGGCTCTTTTCCTTCCTCCTGGAAAAAGGAGGGGATGTCTCTCCTTCAGTCTGGCCACCATTACATTGAGGGACTGGAATTAATTAATTAATTCGATTTTGGAAAAAGGGCTTGGTTTGAAAAGGCACACACAGACCTCTCCAGCCTGCATCTCAGCAAGAGCAAGCTTATCTGCTGTTGTTATATTCAACAGTTATCTGGGCAGTACTAGAAAACATTGAAATAATTACAATCACTTCATCTTCATAATCACTAAGAAGTAATACTGATCACTATTGTCGTGGTTCAAGCCCAGCCAGAAACTTGGAACCACGCAGCCGCGCGCTCCCCCCCCCGCCTCTTCCTTCCTACCCCCGCTCCCGAAGGGATGGGGAGGAGAATTGGAGGAATGTAACTCCCACGGCTTGAGATAACAGCAGTCCAGTAACTAAGGTATAATACAAACCACTACTGCTACCAATAATAATGATAAGAGGAATAACAAGGGGAGAGGACACAACCGCTCACCACCCGCTGACCAATACCCAGCCCGACCCGAGCAGCGATCTGGGCCTTCCGGGTAACTCCCCCCAGTTTCTATACTGGGCATGACGTGCTGTGGTATGGAATACCCCTTTGGCCAGTTTGGGTCAGGTGTCCTGTCTCTGCTTCCTCCTGGCTTCCCCTCCTCCCTGGCAGAGCATGAGACTGAGAAAGTCCTTGGTCAGAGTAAACATTACTTAGCAACAACTAAAAACATCGGTGTTACCAGCGTTGTTCCCAGACTGAAAGTCAAAAACACAGCACTGCACCAGGTACTAAGAAGGAGAAAAAATGACTGCTATAGCTGAACCCAGAACAACTATATACACTCCAGACCACAGGATAAGGAACAGGTGAACAGACATTACTTCAGGATAAGGCTCAATGAAGACAGAGCACAAAACCCTCAGTTGTTCTTACTGGCTTCCCAGAACCCTCAACTCTTTCATCTTCAAAAACAAAACGGATTTGTTACCCTTTACAAAACACTCAGTAGAAAACTAGCCAAAAGCAGCAGCAGCAGCAGCAAACTCGTGACAAATAAACCTGACAGATTATGCAGTGGCTGAAAATCCTCCATCAAGCAAGATTATTTCTTGTACATAAAACAAAACGTAAGCTTTGCTAAAAAGCAAGAGGGCCTCTGAGGATAAAGATTAAGAGACTTCAAAATGCGAATTCATTAAGCTATTGCCATGATATCTGCCATCAAGCTTCTGCTGCAATTAATTCACTGCACCTCTTTTGACTCTTCCTAGGCCAGAAAGAGCTCTAACGAACTGACTGCACTATATGATGAGGGGTGGATCTTCTCATGCTTGAATTTCACAGATCCAGACTAAGATACACAGGAGGAATGAGGTGTGTCACCTCCAAAGCAGGTCAGTTACTTTAAGATTTGTACTAGGAGGTGAAAAAGCCCAAGCAAACAAAAAGATGGCTTGTTTTTACAGGTGATAACTGTGGCTTCCTTTAAGAGAAAGATTTACTCTTAGAAAGGTTTCAGTGAGATATCAAAGAGAAGGAGATACTAAATGAAATGCGGTTCTCCAGGAAGCTTCCTGGGCTTTGTAGTCTGTGATGGATCAGTTCTGACATCTAAGGAGGCTTGAACTCCGAAGTTTTTTTCCCATGTTGAAACAGAAAAACAAGAGCTAAAGAACAAAAATCACAGGATGTCTCTAACCAGTAAAAATATATGGTCTTGGAGATGGGCACCTGGAATGGATAAATATTTGTTTAGCAGGTACACTGAAGTTCTTACATTAAAAAGCAACAGAAATTGCATTCCTTATTCAAATCTTTCACAAAGGGCTTAAAAAGTTTTCATAGTGATTTTTTTTCTAAATAAGATTTCAATAGAAAGTAGTAAGCAGTTGGAGAACTGAAGTGAGTCAAACTATAAGACTGAGTTGATGACTGAAAAATGCAAGACTGGAGTTTAATTTACTTTATTCCTCTGAACCTTCCCTTCAATAGATACAGATATGAAATTACAATGATTTAAGAGAACTTGCACTGCCAGGAGATGCCTGATGGAGGCTTCTCCAACATCGTATTAAAAGTTCTGGTGCATCTGTAAATAAGTAGAGCTACATGAGAAACAAGACAATTCTATGATGAAACTGCAGGGTAATAGCAAACCAGAAGTTTCTCAAAGTATCAGCATGGCTATCAGTAACATGAATAATACTGAAAAACTTTATACAGCACTATAAAATGGGCTTTAAAAGCACCTTCAAAAGAGTTTCCAAAGCTATCTAAGGCTGTTTTGTCAAATATGTAGTTAGCCACACTTAATAAACAGGGAACAAAGAAGGAACGGTAGTTTGTTTAGTGAAGATTACCTCATTTTGCCATCCAAGCTCCCTATCATCTCACAGAACACTGCAGTTCCCACTAACCCATTTTTAACTAAGGCAGTAATAAGATTCACCTGCAGAAGGTTATTGAGCATGCCAGAGTACTTTCTGCAAGAATAGTGATGTGAAAGAAGGCTTAAGCCTTTTCTCTCTCTTTATCTCTTTTCTTTCCTGTAGCTTTAGTCATGTAAGTTGCCCTCTGACATCTGTCATAACCTATTATATCGCACTGCTGATGCTAGTAAATACTAATCTAAAATTCACTGGTAGGTGAAGTGACACACTGCACAGCCCCAAGGCTCATCTCCTTCAGGAGAGAAAGTCTGAGTATATCACTAAATATTTTATAGCACTAGCTGTTCTATGAGGGAAGAATTTTATTTTTTATTTGCTTTATGGTTGCATGTTAGGCTATTTCAAGAACCTACATAGCTAGTGAAGGTCATTAAGTTATACTAGAATTTAACAGAGACTTTTAAAGGTTAAGAAAAATGTAGCAGTCAGTGGTTACTGGAATATTTTCTAGCTGTCCTCAATAAGTTAAAGGTCCAACCTAATGATGGACTTTTAAACGTTTAATTACACAGATTAAAAAAATTAGGATGTGAATGCTGACTTTTGAAGAATGTGGATTAAGTACTTTTGCTCTTCATCTTCCATTCTTTGTAATCTGAAGAAAAAAGAAAAACTGGGATAGAAATAGAGCTCATAATAAGGCACACATCAAATTGTAACCAAAATTTGAAACATGGCTAAAAATAATAATATCCACGGCTTTTTGCTTTTTGGGGTTTTTTTGGGGTTTTTTTCTTTTCTTCAATACAAGCAGAACTGACAATGTAGGGCACTTGTGTCAAGTCACAGGCATTGAGATTCCATGCTATGACTTCCTGATTGAAGGAACTATTCTGAGGTCTCCATCCTCACAAGTTAACGCCCCCTCACTGCTGTCACAGAAATGTGACAAAGAACCATGCTAAGTGGGCTCTGACTTGGCTGTAGAACATGCAGTTCCAAGGTCTGCTTCTCCCAGAAATATCTGAAATACATATGCATGGTCAGAAAAATATTTGCAATTACAAATGCTTTCTTGCTCAGGTGGTTAAAAAGTGGTCTTCCCTTGGAAAGCACATTTATCTAGATCAGTTTAATAGTGCTTTACTGCACCTTTTCCCTATTCTAAACCACTCTTGAGAAGGCCGGGGCAGACCTTTGGAGATCTGAGAATTTATATACAGAATATACTTTTGAGGTGCTAAGCCCCAGAACAACATCACTAGTCTTTACCTCATCTTCATTGCGGATATTGCACTGTAAGGGAGTCACTTTGGCAGGACTCATGGAAGAAAATGTATGATTCAGTTCTTTTGCAGCAGCTTTTAATCGGTCAAATTTACGAGAGGCAATAACAACACTGCAACCTGTAGAGACAAAATGAAACATCCTTCAGGTAACATAGTTAAAATTACAATTACGCTAGTTTTTTTAATAACATCATGGAGATATCTTGTAGGATGTGAGTTTATTAGTCGCTGTCTAGAAGATACAGTGTTGAAATTCTTGCAAGAGAAATTACTGATGTCAGGTGCTTCTTAGCAATGAGATCCCACTGTGCCAGAAGAAGAGCAATCAAAAAAATGTCTACAAGGTTCCTGTCCTTCCCGCAGAAGGGAAGATAGGCTGTGAACTGCAGAGTCAGCAAAGTAGGTCTCAGACACTGCTTTTGCTGCCTCTGCTCACAGCTGCCTCATTTATCAATTACATGATTTAAAGATGTTTCAGCAGGTCTTGATTACAAAAAAATGCCTGCTCCTAAAACAACAAAAATAATCTTACTGCATGTCTGGCTGTAATTTGGACTAGCAGTGAGCAAATGCTTTTTAACCCTACAGAGTCTGAAGGGAAGGATGACAGCCTCACAAGATTAATTCCCATCTGCAGACTACAGACAGCAGGAACAGAGGCTTCCCTGTGGCATCACCACACAGTGCAGAATCCTAGCTCGAAAAGGAGAATTATAAATAGGCAGGAGCTCAAGCCTTCTGATGTTGTTTATTTCAGCATTTGGAGGCAGAAGGACTCATACTACAGTGAAAAACAATGCAGGTGCCAAATTAATGGCAAGCACTTACACTACAGCCAGTCTAGTTTCTCTGTCACACCAGTGGACTCAGGACAGCTTTCAGGCTTTAGCAATTGCTACTACACAGACAAAAGCAGAGCACAGCAGATTAATTCCTAATGCAAATCCAGTAGGCATACAATTTCATATTATGGATAAGCAAATTACTAGCTTCCACTGCCAAGCAGGCAAGGACATCATGCTCCCAGTTCCCTCCTTCCATAGTCTCAGAAGCCCAGCAGAAGCCATCCAGCAGCTCTGCTGCTCACCTGCTTCAATATTAACTGATTCAACACCCTCAACCAGCCAAACCCCCCAAAAAGTTAACATATTGCCAGGTGGGTTGGTTTTTAGTTTTTTGTGGGGTTTGTTTTGGGGATTTTTTTTGGTGGGTTTTTTGGTTTTGTTTTTTTTTTTTTTTTTTCTGTTGTTGTTGCTATTTTGCTAAGTGGAATTTGGCCTCTCATGGTCAAACAAACACAAGAAGCAGCTCAAAATAACTAGTGGGAGTAAAGAGCAGCAAGCTGTTCATTTGGCTCAGGCTGTCTTGTAAAACTACACATAAACACAAATAAATAACTAAAGGAGTTTAATTCTTCCAGAAGGAAGAATATCCCTAGGAATGGGAGCTTCACCTTAAATCAGTGGCCATCTTAAAACAATGCATGTAAAGATATCAGTCTCTGACATCTCCTGATTTTTTAAATTATGAACTCGTCACTTGCACAGCCACCTGACTAATGCAGAGCTCATAAAATGGCACACACAAGTAACAACACAAAATACTGAATCACAGTAGCACAGTTATATTTATCAACTTAAGTGCTTATTAATACACACACTGATATAGAGTAAGGTCCAGTAAAAGACCATAGTTTTACTAAATACGATAACTGGTGGAATGGGAGATTCTAACTCACTGAGGTACACTTGGTACCCACTATACAAACTTATGACCAGACCATTTCCTGATAAAGTCAGAGGACGAAAAAGAACACATTTCTAGATAAAAGGTTTAAATCTGTACATAAGGCTTCATACAAGACTGGTTATAAAAACAACTACATCATGACTGGCATTATTTGTCACTGCTCCTGCAAGCATTTTCTGTCCATCCAGCACTCCTCTGAAACAGTACAGCCTAAAGTACAAAGTATACACGGAAACAACTCCCAGTCATTATCTTGTCAGGAGTAGCCAGCAAGTCTGCAGGCAACGAAGGTTACTCAGGCAGACTTCAGCCATAGCTCATTCTTCATTTTCCCACACGATTTGCAGCCTTGTTTTCTATATAGGAAGTTATGGGTATACACTTTTGTTACTTTGCTTGAGAAAAATAATGCAGATCAGATTAAGTACGATTTTAAGGTAACTGCGTAACTTCATCAAGCAACAACAGGATGATGCGTAAAAAGCACCTTTTTAAGGCAATTATGCTGAAACCTGCAGAAAAGGTGTTGCATGGTGGATGACTCAGAAGGCTGCCTTTCACTCCGGATTTTACCACTTCTCTGTAATCAATGTGGTAAGAAAACCCACAAAGCACACAGTTAAGATTAACTTCAGGTCATTTCTGTCACAAGCACTGAGTGAGAAGCACTCTTAAGCTGACCGTGTGGACAACAGTTCAAAACTGTACTATGCCATAAGACTCAGTTTAACAACCAAGTAAATCTTCCAGTTGAGCAAGATGACAACTCGCTTAAGAGGAAACATGAAAGGGTCCGAGTTTAGTATAACCTCCCTTTGACCACTCTATTTAAAATAGCTTATCTTTTAAGTGCCAGTGGGTCAAAAGATAAGAGTCCCACATCAACCCCACCTCCTCCTCACTGTTCACGAACTCCTGTCACAACATCTCACCCATAAACTC